TTTTTTTTTTCATTCTGTACAATATAAGAGTTATTGTACAATATAAGATTGTAGCGGTAATGACTGATGTTGCATGTTTATGCATGCTCATATTTGCATTTAGATATGCATCTAATGCTTAATCTTTAAAAGCTCAAATAATTTAATATAACCTCAAAACGATTATCTTTTTTTTTTCATTCTGTACAATATAAGAGTTATCAGTTTTTTAAAGATTGTAGCGGTAATGACTGATGTTGCATGTTTATGCATGCTCATATTTGCATTTAGATATGCATCTAATGCTTAATCTTTAAAAGCTCAAATAATTTAATAACCTCAAAACAAATATAATTTTTTTTTTCATTCTGTACAATATAAGAGTTATCAGTTTTTTAAAGATTGTAGCGGTAATGACTGATGTTGCATGTTTATGCATGCTCATATTTGCATTTAGATATGCATCTAATGCTTAATCTTTAAAAGCTCAAATAATTTAATATAACCTCAAAACGATTATCCTTTAGGAAACCAGGGTAACTTTAGGGTAAAATGGCAAAATTGCAATACAGGGCATCTAGGCTTGCAAACTTTCACCACTATTTTTTTTTTATACGCTAAGTGAACGTTTTGAATCGTGCCACACAATTCAGCACAAATAATAAAAATAATTACTGTCAACCAAATAACAAAACACAATGTAATGTTTTAATGCATACATTCACAACATTTAAAGTAAGTGATTTTAGTTTTTAATATTTAATTTAAAATACTAACAGTATAAAATGTTATCTGCCATAACATGGAAATAATAATCTGCTTATTGCTGTCAGCCTGAATTTTAATACTGTTGCATCCCTGATCGTGATGCATATACTTGGATTTGATCAACTCTGCAGTAAAATCATTTCATAAACAGTATTCACTTTCTGTTTACAAGTAAAAGAGCTGCAAATGAGAATGAGAATGTATTTTAGTAAACTATCATCAGGCATTTTGAAAAGGTGCAGCAGAGCTAAAGTAACAATGGACCAAATAGTAAGTGCGTCCTCCTGTCTAACTTTCTCTAGCGCACTCAGAGAATCAATATTAGTAGGAGTGTTTGGGGTTTCCTCTGCAGTGCAGAAAAATGTGGGAGGGATACAGTATGCAGGAGCCAGCAGAGAGCGGCACAAACAAAAACACTCCAAAACTCTTCCTAGATCTCTACAGACAGCTTATGCAAGAGGAAATGCATGATGGAATATTACTGTATGAACTGACAAACGCACATCCAGAACAGAAAATATTCAGCATGGTTTACCTTCAGAGATCAAAGCATTCAAGTATTTCTTCACCCTTTAACATGTCTTTAGGAAACCAGGGTAACTTTAGGGTAAAACGGCAAAATTGCAATACAGGGCATCTAGGCTTGCAAACTTTCACCACTATTTTTTTTTATACGCTAAGTGAACGTTTTGAATCGTGCCACACAATTCAGCACAAATAATAAAAATAATTACTGTCAACCAGTAAAGATGCAAGGAAAGGATTTAAGAAAAGTTCATATCAAAGCATATTTTAAATATAATGCAACACTACAAATAAAGTGTAATAATACCACTTAATTTAACATTACATTGTTATATCAATGAGACGATAACGAAGAAACAGCACAGAAAACAGCTGAAAAAAAGTTGAATATTTTTTGTATAATTTATTGAACAGGCTTTGTGTGAGAACAACAGGAAAAACTTTGACTCATAATGGCCAGCATTGCATTTTTGCTAAATGTAAGCATGTACGCTTTTTTTCCCCCATCACTAGACAAATAAAATAATTTTATGTCAAATACTAACTTTGTAAATAAATGCATTTTCTCCAAACGTGCCAAGTAGTCATATGGCTGACGCGTTTTTGTGACTTTAGTGAGATGTGGTTAATGCAGGGGCGGAGCTAGGATTGGCCACGCCACTCACAACTGCTGCTTCGGTCTCTTTTTTCTTGACAAGAATTGCGTTTATTTACATCAGTATTATTGGTTTCAGTGATACTCGCCTTAAACAGTCTTTATGCTGTTTCTACATTAATGTGAAGATTGAGTGTGAAATTATTGCAATATAAAAGTATATTTAAAAACTTTATTGTTAGGTGGGATTAATCACGATTGATTTTAGAAAAAATGTGCGATTAGTTCATTTTTTTTTAATCGATTGACGGCACTAAAATTAATAAATACTTCACAGAAATTTAAAAAAAATACAAAAACACATCATAAAATGACTAAAACTTTAACTAACATTAAAGTGAAAACAGAAAATAGAAAAATAAAATCTAACTTAATATTTAATAAAAAACTACAAAAATATAAAAATGATACTAAAACAACACACAAATGCATTGAATTATAAGAGAAGAATTGCTGTTTGTTCTGCTTAGTGATATTTCCCCATTGTCAAGCGTGTCGTATCATAAAACATAACAGAGAGTACCTGTAAATCTGAGCACGTCCAGCACGACTGAATTAGTGATTTTATTCAGGAGGCTTGAACCGGCAGCTTTGGGCTGAACAGCAGCAATGTCCCCCGAGCGGCCGATGCCGTGGATCAGTCTGAGAGGAACAACAACACAGCCTTATATTACAAGGCAGGATACAGTAGAAAATTCTGTTAATGTTTTCCACCAAATATGTGACACTGGAGCACAAAACCAGTCTTAAAGGGATACTCCACCCCAAAATGAAAATGTTGTCATTAATCACTTACCCCCATGTCGTTCCAAACACATGTCGTTCCAATCGTTCGTCTTCGGAACACAATTTAAGATATTTTGGATGAAAACCGGGAGGCTTGTGACTGTCCCATGTGCGTTCAGCTTATATTCTCCAAAGTGAGACAAATTGTTGAATAAAGTCGTTATTTTTGTTTTCTTCGCGTACAAAAAGTATTCTCGTTGCTTCATAACATTACAGTTGAACCACTGATGCTAGATGGACTATTCTGACGATGTCTTTCATATTTTTCTGGACCTTGACAGTGTAATTTACTTGGCAGTCAATGGGACAGTCACAAGCCTCCCGGTTTTCATCCAAAATATCTTAAATTGTGTTCCGAAGACGAACGAAGCTTTTATTTAAAGATGATTTTCTCAATATTTTGATTTTTTTGCACCCTCAGATTCCAGATTTTCAAATAGTTGTATCTCTGCCAAATATTGTCCTATCCCAACAAACCATACATCAATGGAAAGCTTATTTATTCAGCTTTCAGATGATGCATAAATCTCAATTTCGAAAAATGGACACTTAAGACTGGTTTTGTGCTCCAGGGTCACATATGAGTTTCTTGAATGTTGAGATGTAGAAAACCCACCTGTAATGTCTCCTGGCCACCAGGCCTGAGGCGACCCGGCCCTCTCGCTCGCCCACACCACAGTTCCCCAAGAAGTTATTACTGTCCATGACTGCCAGCTCGTTCAGAAAGAGCTCGACGGTGCTCTCACTCCACCCCTCCTCTGGACATTTGCCCTGCAAGAAACCAGAAACCTGACGGTCACAAGTACCCCTTTATGTGGCCAATGCCATAAAGAAAAAATATTTTCAAATTGTAGTTTAAAACACCTGCAGCTCACGCTGGTTTCATGTGGTTTTCATGTGGTATGAGTGTGTATTTATATTAGAGCCCGACCGATATGGGTTTTTTGGGGGCCGATGCCGATACCGATATTAGGGAGTAAAAAAGACAGATACCGATATATCGGCCGACATTCTTTATGTGTAGGCTATATTATAGTACAGTATAGTCAAAAGTTTGGACACACGAATGGGAACTGCTCTGCTGCGCGCGCTCTGCTGGACAAACTAAGTAATTATACCATTCAGAAGTATTTAATCTGCATTATATGTTCTAATTTATATATACATAATAAATATACACAGAACACACACATATTATGTAAACAAAACTTTTATTTTGGATACGATTAATCGCGATTAATCGTTTGACAGCACTATAAAGTTCACGTTTTTCAGAGGATTGACACCTTTTCTGAATATTGGTCACTAGATGACTTCAGACAAAAGTGTTTCAGATATTACTTAAGTTTATGAAATGAGCTTCATGGCATTGAGCCAGGCTTCAATCAGACGAGCACATGGACACATGTGATTAACACAGTCATTAATTACCTGCTGCAGAAGCAGTCTGATGAGCTGCTCGTGACCACGCCGAGCCTGCAGGCCCTGCCGCACATAAGAGGAGGACACCAGCCTCTCGCTCAGACTGAAGATCTCGCTGTTCATCTCGGTTCAGAAGCGCTGCAGGCTTCTCTCGGTTTATATTTGTGATGAGTGAAGTGTCTGCTGCTCCACACCGCTGTAAGTCTGTCTAAACAGTGGCTTCACTGATGTGTCTGTGTGACTGTTGCGCTACGGAGAAGCAGACGAGAGGTTAAACATTTTCTAACATCTCTGAGTCAGCACGAGTTTCAAATCGATCAGCTTCTAACTGTACTGTTTACTTCCGGGTTTAGACTCCTCCTTTTGTTCGCGTCTTAATTTCAAAGTAAAAGTCCCCGGTCTACGCGCACCTGTGTACAGTTTCAATGCATAGGAATAACGTTAAATAACAATTATAATAATGTTTAATTTTTATCATTATTCTCAAAACTTGCAAATTCATCTATATCATCTGCATTTTACATGGCCTAAGGGTGGGTACATTTTTAGCAAATTTTATTTTTTTTTAACATTTTTCTATTTCATAGCAATCTTTGATAAATTATCCCTTACGAAAATTAACCATGGTTTTATTGTAGTAACCATGTTTTTTGGTGCATTGATTACTATTTGTATAACCACAGTTTTACTACAAAAACCATGGTAAAACTATGGTTAGTGTAGCGAGACCATGGTTAATTTGTGGTTACCATGGTTTAATTATAGTAACTATGGTTTTATTTGGAGTAAAACACCATGGTTAATTTTCATAAGGGTAGAAGTAATCGGAAAAAATCAGTAATTCCCAAACCGAACCAAAACCACAACGGAAGGTCAATAGGTCTCTTAAAATATTATATAATCGATTTTTTATATATATATATAACCGGAAAATGATGAATATCATGAATGATTATGAATTAATAATTCACGGTATTTATGTACATATCATAAACATTAGCTACTACCATGGCATAGAGATGTATAATGTTGCACATAAAGAAACACAGATGAAATGAACATTTATTTTTAATTTCACAAAAACTACAGATGTGAGTGTTTTTCTTAAAATAAAGGTCAGTCAGTCTGACTGCTGAAGTAAAAGAGCGAGCCTTGAAATGTTTCCTAAAGATTGCTGACTTGAGGATCTCACAGAGTATATGATTAAAGTACAAAAAATGCATTTGCACTGGAATGAGACGTGCACAGGCTGGTTTCAAGAGATTATATACAAAATATGTGAAAATACAGGCACTTTCAAATGTGTATCATGCCATTCATATTCGACAGCTGTTAAAGGGATTTATCTGATGCAATATTTGTTTTAAACTACATTTTCTTCAGCATTTCAGTATGAAGTTAATGCATAACCATTGCAAAAAATAAAAATCAGTGATGAAACGGAATCATTGGTGCATCTTAAAAAAAATAAAACAAAACATAAAAATGACTGTGCATAACGTTTATACTATTATAATTAACACAAACGCAGCATGCATAACCTGCAAGGAACTTGTGTCAAAGTTTAGTGTAAGTACAGTAATTAATAAGATGAATAACCATGATGAAGATGCTGAGGTAGGATTAGAGTGGAGAAGGTTAAACTTGCCCTTCACTCCCACAGAACGTCCACCAAACTCATAGCCATCATCTACAGCAAACATTACAGTACATTTATAACTAAACAACACATCAGCTGGTTCTTAAAGGAGAAGCTAAAACACTGACGGGACAAAACAAGCATCCAGAGGGTGCATGATATGTGCGTTTCGAGGGGATCGTCCTGAAGACGTGGTGTGGTGTCAGTTTTCGGACATCTTGCGGATCATGTAGTTGAGGATGCCGCCGTGATGGAAGTACGTGAGCTCCACGTCTGTGTCAAACCTCATCTTAGCCTGAAAGCTTTTCCCTGTGTCCAGCTGCAGAGACGAAAGAAATACGAAATATGGAATATAAAGAAAAATTTAATGTTTAAGGCAGTGTTTCTTATATAGTAAACTTTCATTTCTATTGAAAGTTATATGTCAGAGCACAAAAGCAGTCTGGATGATTTTCTCAATATTTTGATTTTTTTTGCACCCTCAGATTCCAGATTTTCAAATAGTTGTATCTCGGCCAAATATTGTCCTATTGTCATAACAAACCATACATCAATGGAAAGCGTATTTATTAATGATGTACAAATCTCAATTTTGAAAAATTTACCCTTATGACTGATTTTGTGGTCCAGGGTCACAAATAGATTTGTAATTACACAAATTAACTTTAAATGTAATATAAAAAGTATAAAAATATTCAAGTGTTATTTCAGTATTATTTATATAGTGGTTTTTTTATTCATATTTAGAATATTAATGAAATATACTTTAATGTAATTTCTATTGAAAATTGTATGTCATGTATTTAGATATATTTGTAATTACACATTTGCGAGTTATATTAACTTTAAATGTAATATAAATAATGGAAATATTTAAGACCGGGTTATTTTAGTATTATTTATATAGTATAGTATTTTATTAATATTTTACATTTTTACTTTAATTTTAGATTAAGGTTTAGTAATTTTATGTGCTTTTGTCATTGTAATTTTTTCAAATATATCTATATAGTAGTTTTAGTACTTTAACATATTTTATATTTTTTTTATTTCACTTTCTTAATTTCTAATTTTATGTTTTTAAACTGAAGTTTTTATCTAATATTAGTAGTGCTGTCAAACGATTAATCGTGATTAAATCGCATACAAAATACAAGTTTTTGTTTGCATAATATGTGTGTGTGTGCTGTGTATATTAATTATGTATATATAAATACACACACACAGTATATATTTTGAAAATATTTACGTCTATATTTATATTCATATAATTTATATTATAAATAAATATATTTAATATATAAACATAACATATCTTTCTGAAATATATACATGCATGTGTGTGTGTGTATAT